GCAAGAATATCATCAGCAATATCTAGTCCTCTGCTAGTCTTTTTTCAAAAAGAGGAACACACATGCATGTGAAATGATTATGAACATGTGAACATAGGTGTGTATGAGCATACAGACATAAAGAATTTGCTGACAGTGACATCCTTCACTAGGACGACATGTCTAGAACAACCAACTGTGACACAAAATGAATGATGTGCAAGGAAAAAAGTCTTGGGTAAACATCACTGAAATGTTCTTGTTTTAATATATTGATCTTCTTTGCAGAATTATACTGGGGAATCTTTCTTCCGAAATCACCAATGCAAAACCAGTTAGAAACAGGAGTTCTGAGTCTTCCAGCACAGTAACACAACCTATATGTGAATATAACGTATATGTTTAACTGTGATGCAAAATTACATTTGTGGCAGTCAAAGTTAGGCTCATCGCTTCAAAAATTGAGTGGGTGAAAAAATAAACTAACCAAATTCTAACTATGGTTTAGATATGCTTTTTTTTGTCAGGACTATGCCTGTGAGGATCTATCACAGCACCCTTTTCAGGCAGCAAAGGTGTAGCGAACTTGAGAGCCGGTACTTCAGAAATACATTTGACTTCAGCACAAAGTAGGTGAAATAGGACAAATCTGACTGGGAACCTGCCTCAGCTTTGCAGAGGAAACATGAACCCAGGCTCACGTTAACTGGGTAAGGCATTCTGGATGCTCAAACTGCCTTTATAGCCCTCACACAGAAAGTTCAAAACTGAATTTCACAAGGACCCATGTTCCTATGTACTCTGCCCCCAGCCCCACACTTCTTATCAATCATTGACTGCAGCTGGAGCCCAGGCAGCGCCTGAGAGGACTGCAGGAATGTCGGGACTTTGTGTGGAATTTCACCAGTGTGAGCCAGTTGTGCTCTCCATTTGGGAATGAATTGGCCAAATTTTCAAGTCCCTGCAATCAGCTTGATGGCATCACTTTGTTCAGATGCAACACAGATAGATAGCTTTTGAACATCACAGCCAACTGATTCCAAAATTTTAGGAAAAGTTTTTAGGCATCCGTAGGCAGTGCTCTTCTGATCCTGGAGAAATTGAGAAGGGGGTAATGCAGGACACATGAAGCCCTGGCATCTGGTGAGGGCATCCAGCAACCATCAATCTGGCCTGTAATTATCTTTTCACCAAAGGCCTGGCACAGTAGCTGTTAGCATCTCCCAGCATAACAATACCTGCACCACAGCTCTGCCCTTCCTGCCACAGATGCCCTGAATGATTCACCCTCCAGACAGAAAGAAAAGGTGTGGGAGGAACACCACGTGCATCCAAAGCCCTTGGCTTGGTGCAGAAAATGAGGGACTCTGGAACTGGCGAGGACAAGGGTAGCTTCCCAAAATGCCTGTGTGGGGAGAAAAAAAAAATTGAGGGAGCCGTGACAAACCCCTGCCCTGAGGGAACAAGTGAAGCACTTTTCTTCTCCAGTACTCTGGAGAAGGAAATACAAAGGAATTCCCAGAGTCACTGGTGTGGAGGCGAGGCTTTGGGACTAGGAAGCTCCTAAAGGAGTGCAGGATGGGAAAGCAGCACCAGAGTACACGGGGTGGAATGAGCCACGTGTGCAGCCTATGAAGACTACAAACTGCCCTCTGCCCCGCGTGCAAGGGCGTTTTGCAACCATAAGAGACCATCCGAGGCTTCAGAAGGGTGATACTCCACTAAACCGTTTCCTGTTGATTTGGAGGAGGGGGTGGTAGGCAGGTCTGTTGAGCCAAAGATAGCCTAGATCAGCTTTTGTCCATTCCCTGTCTCGCTTTGGGACTGTCAGCAAACCATTTCACTTGTCCACCTCAGCTTCCCTCTCTGTAAGGAAAGAGGAATGACTCCCACGTCTTGGAAAGACTAGGAAATCTCTGGATGAATAGCTTCTTCTGTGAACTATCGTTACGTTAAATTGACCAGTGTCATAATTTAGCGTTATTTTAAAAGAAAGCTGTGTTCATTTCTCTGATAATTTGCTGTACCTATTTAGGAGGCCTGGTATTAAAGTCCTGCGTAGCTCTTCCCGTAAGAAAATTATGTATTTTTTAAAGTATCTATCAAATTTGCTTTTTGCATTAGACTGACCTATCAATTTAAAAATTGTTGGCTGCTAAGGAATTTATTGTCACCTCTACAATAAACAACACATATTTTGAAGTGAGTTTATCAAGGAAAGGATGTCTTTGATATGTTTCAACTGTTAACCTGAATCCAGTGTTTTGTTGTTTTCTGTTACCAGCTTTGAGTGCAGAAGAAATCTCCTATTTCCTGTGATATATTTGGTTTATGGAAAATCTGAAGTCTGGAAAGCAGAAAAATGGTGTCTCATTTCACTGAGAATATAGAAATAAGTTATTGTGTCAGTATAAAAAGACACATGCTTTGTCCATTGAGTAGCTCATACATAGGGGAAATCTGAGATTTTTTAGATAAGACCCTGGAAGAAGAGACAAAAATGACTCATGTGACAGGGACCGCAATCTACTCAAATGAAGCCCAAATTAGCAGTGAACAAAACTTTCTTCAAAATGGGTACTTTCAGTTAGTTACCTGTTTGCAATTAATGCCTGGTCACTAAAGCTAAATGCCACATTCCCCAAAAGCACCACTAGAAACGTACCTACTAGCCACCTCACCAGAGACACCTGATTGATAATTGCCAATAGGGAGACAAAATGTCATAGAGATGCAGCAGTCACAGCAGGGGGATGCACACAACTCGCATCCTCAGGGTTAGTTAGGAACCCACGTCCATTTGGTTGCAAACCAGACTGAGTCACAGGCATTTTACCACAATTACTCCTAACCCTTCTCAGAGCAAAAAACAAGACTATTTCAGAAAGCCTCAGGGTGTCCACATCTTAGAAACTTATCAAGATCCTTCTTGTCCTAAGGAAGGATAAGAAGGTATGGCTAGAGAGAATAAACATACTAACAAAGGATTTCAAGAGTGAGGGCTGTCAGTCCAGTATCCTTGGAAAATAAAACTAGACAGTCTATAACCATCTCAGCTTACAAACATGCAAATGGTTCTCTCCCAGCTAAAGGGTAGAATTGAGTCAGAAGTTAGCACTTTTAATAGGGTGCCTTATCAAACGTGATTCTTCAGAAAAGGACAAGAAATTGTAAGATTAGATATCACTTGAACACATTTTGGGTTCCCAACATAATGTGTGGTTTGGGCTAGATATGGGACTCAGAGGAAACCATTCCTCTTCTGAGATGTTGGATCTGCCAGAGTCTGTAAAAGCAGGGAAGTATAGTTGGAAGATTATCAAAAAAATAGTGACCATGGTAATGAGCTTTGGATCAGATCTTTCAACAAGACTTGGATCTTTCCCCGTAAGTCTTGTTATTATGACTAAATCAGCTCAAAAGGAAAAAAAACCCAACAGCAACAAATTCCAACTGATTAAATTCTAAGAGAAAACTGGACATGGAACAGAGTAAAGGAAGGGATAGAAAAATGGGCACTGGCATGTGTTCAGAAGTACTATTAATGTGTATTCAGAGAAAATTAAAATAATAGTACAGATGGGCAAGGAAGTACAACCATGGATAGGAAGAAGACACATAGTGCAGAGGAATAGATCCAGACAGATTGCAGACTGACATCAGTAACGCACAAGGAAAAAAGGGTGAGCCAATAGAAAGCATGGAAGTCAAACCGTAAGAGATTGAACTATGTGTCTTCATATAGTCTAGATACACTGAATAAGGCCACAGTGGAAACAGGGATAGATGTCAGCTATAGACAGAAGTGGTGAGTTTTTAAAAAATCTATTTATACCTCTGTTTTTAAAAAGTCTGCTTTTGTATCAAAGACTGTGGGAAGTAGGTGACAGAAGTGACCATAAATTAAAAAAAGAAACAGAAGTAAGACCATGCTAATGCAAGGCAACCACATGTATGGAACGGGTACTAAATGAAAACATTCCAGAGAAGCATGGGGCAAGTATCAGTTAGTCTTGCTATATGTGATGGTGCATGGGGAGGCTGCAATTGCTCTCAAAAAAACCCCCAACGTAATAAGGGACCACCTCTTCAGAGCAGAGATTACATCTCTACAGATAAGATGGACAGAGAAGTTGAATGGAGAAACACAGCTAGGCTGCATTGAACGTTCACAAGGAACACGGCAATTCAACGGCAAAGACAGGACCCGAATCCTCATCTCCTGAACCACAATCAGCAACTAGATCACACTGTCAGTAAAGAAAAAGTTTAAAATGGATGCAAAACATGAAGAGTCAGAGGGGATGTCCAACTTCTTGGTTCCAGGCTATTGCCCAGACACAAAGCTCTAGGGGAAACCTGTAAGACTTTGGTCTTGCCGTAGACTGTCTGCAGAAATTCAGACCCTCGCCGCTTCGCCTCTCTTTGACACACAGTAATTTTCCAGTGGTGCTGTAAGCCTGTTGCTGTGTCTCATTTTCCTAAATAAACTGGCTTTTCATGGTGACCGTGCCAGTTGAGCCGGCCTTACGTTGGCATACTTGCCACATCTGCAAGACGGCGCAGAGCAGCCCCGCAGCGCAGCGAGGCGAGGTGGCAGCCACTGGCTCGCAGCATCTCCTGAGCTCAGAGCACAGTGGGGTTGCAGCACGCTCCTGTTCGAGGTCTGCCCACAGAGGTGGGACCTTCTCAGAGCTTCTGCTGAGCCCAGCACCCGGCCACCACATTTCTGGTGCTGTAAGAGGGCCTGAGAGCTGAGCAGTTGCGAGGGGCAGGGCTCCAGGGGAAGGCTCCCCTGTTTGGATTGCCTGCAGGAAGGAAGTGGGATAACATACAACTTGGCAAGGCATCTCAAAGCAGCTCCGGTCAACAAACCTCACGTATTTTCTTGGGGGAAGAGAGAAAGATACTGAGTAGAGGCAAAACTACAGTCACACCTCTGTGTACTCTGGCAGCTGAGATCCTGTGTGCTTTGTGCTTGTTTACATACCTCTATCAGCAAAGGACACCAGAAAACCGAGAGAAGGTATTTACTATTGTCTATGAGGTGAGTGACTTGCATGAATAAAATAACCTGGCCTGAATCCTATGGATCAGTTGCTATAATCACAAGCAGGATGGAAGGTGGGGTAACTATCGCCTGGCCTTTGCAGTAGAAACAGAAAATTGCATGTTGGGACTTGTCATCCGTATGTGCCACATGTCCATTTTAAAGATAAAGTTTTATGGAAATCGCGTTCAGGATTACAGCCCCTGAAAAGCTGCTGGGGAAAATTCTGAGAGACCCTACGTAGGAGGCTGTGAAAAAAACCCAACTGTCCATGATGCTCTACTAGAATATCATCACAGAATAATATAGCATGAAAACAGCATCCAAACTTGAAAGACTTTCCACTCTAAAAATGCTTCACCACCGCATGTTCCCATTTGATGACTATCATTATCGCTGAGCGTCTCCTGGTCTTCCACACAGTCTTTCAACCTACATCTATTTTGAACTTTCTTCCCACACCAGCCACTGCTTTTAGCTCACTTCAGGAATACACACTTGCTTGTCTAAAAAGCTCCACAGCAGTCCTAAACATGCTTTCAATTTTTAGCTATTTTTTTTCAGTCTCTGCTGTATGTTACCTTTGCATACTGTGCTAGAGCTCATAAAATCTCAACTCTGTGGTTAAAGAAAAAAGGCTCTGAATGTCAGGGGTAACTTTTATTCATCACCAGTCACTAAATCTGCAGGCTGGGAAATATGTGATTTGCAAATAATTAAAATACAGAATTTGGTTATAATGAGAATCATCATTCTGAGTCTGTAACTTAACTGAGTAAAGTCTTCTATAAGTCTTGGAATGTGATAAACACATGAATAGTAATATTATTATACTGTGAATCAAAGTGAATAGAGACACAGAAGTCACAACAAATTGTTTTAAAGCAGCATCTTATGACAGCATGCAAAACACCTCAAGTGGCCCTTGCTTTTGTATCACCATGACTACAAATCTTCTCTGTCCTCGGGCCATTTCTTGCTTCAGGTATTGTAATTTATTTACAGTTACTCTCCACACTCCTTTGTACTCCCTTTAGCCTAACAAAATCAGTCTAATTGCTCCTCCATCTCTTTTCCTCTTCTCATATAATCGCATATAACTCCAGATGCTCTAATGCTCTCTGCAATGCCAACCCCTTGGTGTGTATGTAGCAAGAGGTCAGGCTTAGGCTATGTCATGAATTTCTATGCACACCAGATCTGTTTAGCCATCCCCTGGGTACATAGCGATATGGGTGTGCAAATCTAGAAGTTACTTTTTAAGAAGCCTTGTGCAATGTTGTGAAATGCAAGCAAAGGCTGTGTGTGTGTGCGACGAGTGTTTTCTTGGCCACTTGGGATTTCACAGTTGTTGCTGTTGTTCGCTTTGTGTCCATTTGAAACATCATGGTAAATCCTCATCTCAGCAAATGAGAGGAGGTGTCTGCACAGCGTGGGTGACACCAAACATCGGTACTGGTGTAGCTGGAGCTGTTTGTCTGGTGGCCCCTGAAACATGGCACTGCTGATGGTTCCACCCTCCTCCCCAATGCACCCGATCATTTCTGCCTGCACCTCTCTGGTGGGGAAATGATTTTCTATTCTGTCCATGACTATCCAATTTCATATCCCTGTAGGTTTTTTAATTTCTTCTCCTGAAGTTCTTGCTGCTATTACATATTCATTCTGCCTCAAATCGATGTTTTTCAATATGAAAGTATCAGTTCTCTTTAAATCTGCTTTCAGTACTTCCTCTATTTTTTTCTGGGTTTGGGGAGGGTTTTTTCTCTTCTTTCATTTTCTTTCATATAACCAGTCTCTCATTAAAGGCCTAATCTGAAGCTTTTGGTTTCTATCTCAGTATCTTCTTCTTCTTGAAGTGGTCCTTGCTTTTCTATCACCATGACTACAATTCTTCTCTATGCTCTGGCCATTACCTGCTTCAGCTACTGTAATTCGCTGACAGCTACTCTTCAGGCTCTTCTGTACTCCCTTTAGCCTAACCGAAAGGTTGTTAATCTACATTCTCCTCCCCCACACTTGAAGGATACCATCTTGTTTCTTTATCTTGTCATTGAGTCTCTGCCTCCTCACTCTTCAGAGGTTTTCTCTCCTTTTCCCGTTTTCTCTCTTGCTTCTTGTGTGCCTCCTGATCCTCTCTTGCCACAATACTTCTTGTCTCCTCTGTTCTGTAGCCTGCCTTTATTTTGGTAGCTGCATGAGTTGAAGTAATATCAATTTTACAGGGAAGAGAACTCGTGTACAGATTCCTTGACTCCTGAAGGTCATCTGTGAGGTTCATGGCAGATTAGGAAAGAAGCCTCAGTGTTTCTGAGTGGCATCCAGTCATTCAGCCCAGGACTCCTCCTCTCCAGATCTGCCCTTCAGACCTCCTGCCCTTGAGATTCTTGGTCTCCGCAGGATCCATTTTTTCCCTCGAGACAATTGCCTTGTGATTTTTCTTGACCATGTTTGACTCTGAATTCTTTGGGAATGAGATTAGTGTTTTTGTATTTGCAAAGGACTCAGTTCACCTTTATAGTACCAATATAAATGCTTACCCCATCGTAATTATAGTAGCCAGTGGCTTAGACATGCTGTACTGTACTCGGGGAGGAAGCAGACAGATTTCTGTGCGTCACACAGAGGAAAGCGACAGACTGTGTTTGCTCGCTAATTAAAACATTTCAGTGACTTTAGCTTGAGCAATATAAAACTGCCTTGGATAGTGTAAATGTGCCTCAATTAAGGTTTCAGATAAGATCTCCTGCCAGAACTGAGAAGATGCCCTGGTAACAGTGACAGTCAGGGCAAAGTGCTGGCTCAGAAGCATGGGAACAGAAAGCACAACCCTGTCTGTTCCCTCACCTTCTGGAGCTAAAGGGACAAATATTCTCAGAAAACTCTCTGTGTCTTAAAGGATGAAAAATCTCCATTGTTTTTCTGGATTTATTGTTGTAACAGGTTCAGAGGCCCTTGGCCCTCCTGCCACTAAATTAGCACAGCGCATTGACTGAGGTAATGGTCGCTTCTGTCATGAACTGGGAGAGTTCCCGTGGGGCCACAGTGTGTTAATCCCATGTAGAACCCAACCCTCTCTTTGACTGTCTTTTTTTCATAATTATACAACTGAGTAAAGTATGGATCAGCCTTGGCCCACATCGTTATACCCCATCTCACCAGAACCAGAGTCAGTGAATGAATATCAAGTACATTTATTAAGGTTGTACTTTTGTTTAATTATTTACCATGAAGGTGGAAAGTGCCAGAATGATCTATACTGACATTAGGTCTCTGGTCATTGCCGGTCCGTTCAGAGCCGGAGCAAGTTGCCTGGAGAGGCTGCGGAGCCTCCATCTGTGGAGATACGCAAAATCTGACTGGACATGGTCCTGGGCAACCTGCTCTATCTGTCCCTGCTTGAGCAGAGGTTTGCACTAGATCACCTCAAGAGGTCCTTTCCAACCTCAGGTATTCTGTGATTCTGTGAGCTGGGCCCTACCAGGTTTGTATCATCACCTACATCCATATACTCCTTCCAGGCAGCAAAGAGAACTCCGACATGGGATGCAAAGCCCTTTGTCTGAAATCAAAGCAGAGTGGGGGGAGGAGGACCCCTATTCATCCTGTAATGAAAGTTCAGCTGGAGAATTGTTCTTTTCCTAACCTTATTCTCCTATTCACATTTTTGATGACTAACACTTGGGAACCCAGCGTACAACAGGCTGAATTTATTCATAGTCCGAGCATTATGAAAGCACCCTCTGAGGCAGTTTCCTCTCGCACTGCCACACCATTGAAGGCAGCCCTGACCTTCGGGGACCACCCTCTTCAGGAATGGAGGGTTATTCAGCCTGCATCCTGTTTGAGAACCACACACCCCTCCTGAGCGGCTGGCTCACCGCTGGAGCGGGGGCCTGACCGTTTGTTTGAGAGCGTTCCCACTGTGGAGCAGCACTCCTGAAGCGACCGGTTGTGAGAGTGTGACCCACTCTTCCTGGTGCTGGGTCAGAACTGAGCTGCCTCTGGGTGTACACAGCTAAAGCAAGACTGATCCCACAAACTGGCAGGCAGAGGAGTCAGCAACTTGGCTGGCATCAGAAGGAAAATGCACCCTTGGGGTATAGCCTTGCATATCATTTAACCTCAGCTGAATACATGTAGGAAGCAGTGATCTGGCTCCCTCTAATCCTTATTCAAGATAAGCCCTTTGAAGTCCATGTATGCTGCAGGCAGGGCCAGCTTGGCATTTTTGCCAAGTCGGTGAAACGTTTTGACAGCAACTGCTTTCCTTTTCCCCAAAACAACAACTGGCTCTTGTTCTGCTTATTTTAATCCTAAAAAACCCCTTTATCACGTTTCCGTCTTGCTCTGCATTACTATGAGAGAACACCATTGCCACCACAATTTCTCTCATGCATGAATACAGAGACTCACTGCATACAAATCTCCCTTTTCTCAGCGCCCAGTCCTGCTGGGTTGGGAGTAGTGTCTGTCCTGGATTTCGTGCTGGTCCCAGCAAGAGGCTGGAGAGTGAGAGCAGGTTGCAGAGCAGAGAACAGACTGTGGTTGCCATTCTTTGTGCAGGGGAGAGTCACACCAGTCCTTCCTTACATGGCATCACAGCAATGTAGGGCTGGGAGAGATCTGGTTTAGGCTGTCCCTCTTTACTATGGCAGATTTTTGTGTAGTCTTAAAAACTCCAGTGCAAAAATTCCACACATTTCTCCTTGGAAGCTTGGTCTAGTGTTTCATGTTGTGTTGGAGGCTTTGACTTGAGGCTAACCTGTGTCCAGATTTGCTAGGTGTTTTCCTTTTCTGCCTAGAAAAATTGCCTGCACAGATTTTTGGGATTATCTGTACTGTAACTTGGATAGGAAGGCTACACGTGTGGAAAACCTGGACATATCCCCAGGACCTGTGCTGACCTATTGTACAATCTGTGTGGCGGAAACCGGACCAGGAAGCTCTGATCTTATTCTATGGATGGAATGCGG